CAGCAGGGAAATGTATGGAAGCAACTGATTCATGTCCAAAATCATTTGCAGTTTGTTCAGAGAGAGGAGAAATTGCTACTATGATGTGCACAAATGACTGAGTGTTGTGGAGGTTGAACTAATAGTTATGAGAATTTCAATTCTGATCTGAGAAACGCACCAAAGCGACTGAGAAAAACTGTAAGTGTAGGCCTATGGTTGGAGTCTGACAGACAGAGTCATTATAATGGAAACAGGCTTCGGGCTCCAGCAGAGGACTGTAAGCTATGTGACAATATTTTTACATGGCATTCTGTAATGTTCTTGCATGAAGACAACTTACATTACTGTAAGGGATCAAATGAACTAGAAAAAGTGCATTTAGCTGAATTTATATAGGTCCTTCACTAAAAAGTTTTAGAGCACAGCTCATGAGTTTGTGGTGAAAGTTGTGTGAGCTGTCTATGGTCAAATATGGAGTTCCACAGGGTTCAATGCTAGGACCAATTTCTGTTTACATGATACATGCCTTCCTTAGGCAATATCATCAGAAGGCATAGCGTACATTTTCACTGCTATACAGATGGCACCCAACTCTGTCTAGCCAGATAACACACACCAATTAGTTAAACTGCAGGAATGTCTTAAAGACATAAATACCTCTAATTCTCTAATTCAGTGGTTCCCAAACTTTTTTTTGCCAGAATTCTTACTCTGGATGGCATTACCTTGGCCTCCAGTAACACTGTGAGGAACCTTTTTTGACCAGGATACGTCCTTCGGGGTACATATTAAACAACAACTGTTTTCTTCCATTTGCACAACATCTTTGAAACTAGAAACGTTCTTTCTCAGAGTGACACTGAAAAACTATCCATCTATCATCCTTATACTTCCTCCTCATACTTACTTTCCCCCCAAAAGCAACTTTTAACTACAGAAATGAATGCAGCAAACGAAAGGGACCAAAAGAGGAGAAGTTTTGTAGCATACTGTTGAATGCTACAAAACAAGGAGGATAAAGTCAGTAGCACTGGTGAGAAAAATGTTCCTGACACTTGCTGATGATGGTACTATTCTCTTCACCTGTCAGTGGTTTCATTGTTGTGGTTTACTCGCTAATATTCATGTTGGACAGAAGGACAATACTACTGAGTTTTGCCATATCTATACATTGCAAGCCAGAATCATAATGTCTACTCAAGTATATGCAGAAGCATTAAAAAGTAATTCATTTTGCTCTGGGAACTTCTGACAACTATGTCTTATGTATTTGGATGTTCTTCCTACAGACACAGTGGACTCCATCACTCCAGACAAGGTTAGAGGTCTAAGAGACATGTTGAACAGCAGTGCCATGGACATCATGTACTACACAAGTCCTCTGTACAGAGATGAGGTGAGTGAAAAAGCCCCACCATTTCAACATTCAGGGTAGCTGTAGCTCAGGTGGTAGAGCAGCCTACTAATCAGAAAGTTGGTTGTTCAATCCTCGTCTTCTCCAATATCCTTGGGCAAGACACTAACCCCAAGGAGTTCTCTAAATGTTAGATAGAAAGAACCTACAGAGAAAGAGCATCTGGGTAAGCACTTTTGGAGGTCGGTGGATCCTGGGAGTCTGGCAGTCATCTCTGCACCTGAATGTGATCACTGATCCTAATGCACATTCAGGTATCAATAAATCAAGTACACATTAGAAAGTCTTTGGCAGCGAATTATATATATATATATATATATGTGTATGTATGTATGTATATATATATCAAAGAAATTGCCCTTTGGTTTAAAGCAAATACAAATGCATGTTCTCAGAAGAGGTTTAGTTCATGCTTCTTCTCTTGTATCTTCTTCATGGCACCTGTTAGTGGGTGGGATATAATAGTGAGCAATTGAACATTTTCTCCTCACAGCTGAAAATGGGCATCTCCAAAACTGCTGCTCTTGTGAGGTGTTCCTAGTTTGCAGTGGTCAGTATCAATCAAAAGTGGTCAAAAGGAAGGAATGGGTGGTGATCCAGCGACTTGGTCATGAGGAGGCAAGTCCCACTGATGCACGTGGTGAGCAAAGATTGCCCATTGTGGGCTGATCCAACTGATGAGCTATTGAGGTTAAAGTGTAAGTCAAAGTTGTTACACTTACACTTAAAAAGAAATGACCAGTCTCTTATTTTGATGGTAGGTTCGTTTAATGAAAAAAAAACAGGATATCAACAAAAAATCCTACGCCAACCAAAAAAACATAAATTTGATCCCCAAGCAAAACATGACTTAGTACTTAATGGAGAAATCCTTCGTGACTGTCGTCCCGACTGCCTTCATATCATCAACAAGCTCCGCCTGTGTAGTTTTGGGCTGATCCACCACCTTTGTCATGATTCGCTTACAGAGTGTGTCACTTACATGTTCCAGTTAATTTTCCCTTTAGTACAGGGAGTTAGTGGATTTCCCAAATGCTTAATTGATATCAGATTTAATAGTTTAATAATTTAGTTAATAGTTTTCAGTTTCCCTTTGCACTTTGTTTCACATGCATTTTTGCAATCGGCCAAATTAAACACCTTACTTTTAGTTTACCTCAGTAAGTCTCTGCATGTCTGCATTTGGATCCTCACTTTTCTCACACTCAACACATGACAACGATAAAACTTTTATTTTATTTTAACCTTTTATTTCAATGTGCTAATAAATGAAAAACAATAACAATAAATAAGTATTCTTACTACAAACCGTGTTCCTAAGGGCTAGCCTTTGTCCCCTCACTGATATGGTGCTGCAGGGAGCTGGTGCAGTGGTTTGTGATGTGAAGCCTGGCCTTTCTGTAGCAAGTTGTGTGGCTTTCCTCCAGGTACTCCTGCTTCATGACATGCATGTTGGATTAATTGGTGATTCTAAATTGTGATCAGTGTGTTGAATAAACTGCTTCCCTGCTGGCACTCAGCATTACTCCTATTAGGCTAAACCAAACTTTGTCACACTTAAAATCTGGTTAAGATTTTGTAATCCAGACTGGCTATGCAGCACTGGTCTACCGGCCGATCAAAATGATCCTAAAACATCAAATATAATCATATCTATTTGAATCTGATTGACATAATTAAACTTATATTTCATGGTGTTGTGCACACATGCTGTTGTTTTGTTTGTGTAGATTACCAGGGGATTGACTCTGGAACTGAATCGTCTGTACTCACTCTTCTGCTCACGGAACCCAGACTTTGAGAAAAATGGGAAGGTGTCCATAGTGTCTCACTCACTGGGCTGCGTCATCACCTTTGACATAATGACAGGCTGGGATCCAGTTCGCTTTCATCATCCAGAAGCCGTAGACCCAGAGGATCCACAGATCCACTGGCCTACTGATGAAAAGCACCACCTTCAGGAGCAACTGAGACTAACGCGCCTCAGGTACTTCTCTGGCTTTTGTCTGAAACAGGTAAGGAGTCAGTCCCCATCTGTTTCAGCAAAAAGTGTACCTAATGGCACAAAGGAGTTTGAGGAGAGACCCTCTTTATTCTTCCACATTTTTTCATTATATAGGAAGGGAGAGAGAAATATTTAATCACTTGTGTAATATAATTGTATAATACTTCCGTATTAATACAATATAAAGGTTAACTCTTTGTTTAAGTGGCCTTCATCAGCAGAATGGCTTGGAGCCGCTCAAAATGTAGGGAAAAAATATCTTTATAACGATCAATGCTCAATAGAATATAGCTTGAGAGTTTGATAATCTCTGTCAGAGATATCACTATGGTTTTGTCATTGACTTGGAGAAACAGTTTTATTTTATTCAGTTTCAGATTTTTCACACATTTTTCGGGTCGCAATTTTCATTATGTATTAGAATGTTTTCGGCTGAAAGTCATGTCAACTGCTTTACACTGGCATAATAAATGGTATCCGTCATCCTGTCCAGGTTGAGGGACTTAGAGGATCAGTTCCAGGGTCTGCAGACTTCGTCTTGTGTTCCAGTGCCCGCCCTGAAATTCAAGGTAAAGATGGTGTAGCAGTTTCTCCTCAAACAGAGCAGATTTGCACACACAGATCTTTATTATAAAACTTTCTGGGAATATACTCTCATGGATAGTGTTCATTCCCACTGCTTTAGTTTGTCCACCACTGCGTTCCTTCAGCCCCACAGTGCAGTCAAAAAGTATTTGCCCCCTTCCTTATTGCTTATTGTGCTCAACATGTACTATATAGGGAAAAAACAAATTTGCACACCCTATGTGTCTTTCTGCAACTGATGCAGGAACCCTCGGTCATCCTGCCCTACCTTTCCCTGCTACTGCAAAGCCACAAACCATAACCCACAGCCACGCACCCCCACTGCCCAACTTAGGGCGGGGAGTTATTTGCTCTAACCCCTTCCCCAGTGAAAGAGAAGTTAACCACAGTCATCATCGAGTGATCTGGACATTGGCATCCTTTATGTAGTGGAGCAACTGCAGTGTGGCATGGTCCAAACTTGGTATGCTATACTAAATTACTAAGTTTCTCTCTGATGTAAAGCACTGAGAGTTAACCCCATACACCAACTGGAAAAAAATAAGCCCCCAACCCTCTGTTCAACACATCAATGTGCGAAATAAAAGGGACAGAGAAGTTGTTGATCAGGGTGTTCCACTAGTGAGCTATTTTCACCCTATAAAAAGCCATTTGGCACCAATCGGTCCACCAGACCCAAGATGGACCACCATTCTCGGTGTGTTTAGTTATGGGCTATTCACATCCGTGAAATGTGGGATGAACTTCTGATAGTAACAAGCCAATCCCATCTTGTCCACATGAGAGGATATTCGCCCACTTCCCAAGGGCAGTGCACCTGCCTCTGTCCAATCCTGCACTTCTTCAGGCTGGGAATAAGTCCAGCTTGCTTCAAGGGCTCCAGCACTGTGCTTACCCACTGTACATGCTATGCTCAGGTTTTTCTGTGGCTGATCATTTAATCTTCGTAGAAAGTAGCATTTGTAGTATTGGGATGCAACAGGCCTGGGCACCAAACCAAGGCATTTTTTCCTTGTACTCTGGAGATAAGAAAATCTGCCAGTAAGGCCTTGGTTAAATCCAGTGTCATGAAAAATTGAGCGGTGCCCAATTGTTCAAGGAGCTCATCAATCCAGGGCATGAGGTAGGCAGCAAACTGTAAACCAGCATTCACCTTGGGATAGTCAACACAGAACCTTATAGACCCATCCCTCTTCATGACAATAACAATAGGACTACACCAGGCACCATTACTCCTACTACCTTCATTTCCAGATTTAGTTTAAATTCTTTCAGAACTACTTTTTGTGTTCTGGCAATCTATAAAGTCTTGACCAAACCGTCACCATTGGGAAGTCTTAACATGATGTTGTATGAAATTATTGTAACCTGGAAGATGCAACTTGGCAACACATGCCTTCTGGGCTGATTAAAAAAGGTAGTTAGAAAGGACTCATCTCAGCTCTGTCATTCATCTGGCATTTCTTGCAGAAATATTATAGTGCTCTGCTTTGTAATATCGAATTGCACAGTCCACCTGAACTTATCACAAATGGCTTGATGAAACGACCCAGTGAAATCCATGCCAGTTTGTTCAAACATGACCTCCATAAGTGGTAAAGAGCACAAAGGTGCTTTTGGAATGTGAGCTGGATTTATGTGGTTAAGTGTGCACATGCACCCAAATATGTGGCCAATGGGATCGGACTACTGGCATTTTACCGTTGTACCTATTTTACATTGATGCTACTGCATATCAGTAAATATCCCCATTTACACACTTAAAATGTGTGAACCAGATCCCTTTGAGTCAGGGACTGAATGTAGTCTGAATCTATCATGTCACAATGTATATCCCCTTTGCATTTTGATCAGAACACTGTTTGGTGCCCCCCTGACTGGGAAAAGGTGTTGGAAGTGACCTGTACCACCACCACCTATGAGGGCACTTATTTTTAGAAGTGACAGGGTCACTCCATGCTTGCAGCACTCCTGCCCAAGGCAAGCTGGGTGCAGTTCCAGCAAGCAACTGGACTCATGGCAGTAAAGCAGGGACAGTGACTTTAGGTCCAGTCCATGGTATTAGATGGGTAGCCTGGTTTGCTTCAGTGTGTTCCCCTATATGCACAGCAAGGTGGTTCTTAGCCAAAGTGACGACCTGCTAAGAACCACCTGCCTTCGAGCTCACTGGCCTGTGACATCTCATTTACTCATCTCAATCCCTCACAAACTGTTCCGTGATGACCAGTTCCTGTAGCTGTTGTTGTCCAGCTGCCTTCCCTGTTTGCAGCTACCACATAGCCGCATCTTTCAGCTGCTGGACGTAGGCAGAAGGGTGGTCGGCAGGCCCCAGCTCGGTGCTCATGAAGTGATGATTTTCAGACATGTCCAAAAAGGACTATGGATCATCTGTGACAGTCATTTTGTGTTGCAAATTTACACTCAGATGTCTTTAGTTGGTAGAAAAATACTCTTATGTATGGCAAACTGGCTGTCACACTGAATTGTGTCACATTTGTATACAAGACAAAGATAAATCAAGTAAATGCAAAATGCAGTTTTATATGATGATTTCATTTATTAAGGGAAAAACCAATCCAAAGCTACCTGGCACTGTGTGAAAAAGTAATCCCCCTCAATAAATCACAAATTAACTGTGAATAACAACATTTTATGGAAAGACAACTTCAATGTAACTTATGGAAGCGCATTTCCGCCACAAAAAAAGTATCCATAACTCAAAATTTTGAGTTGTTAACTCAAAATTTTGACTTGTTTTCTTAAAGTTTCAACTGATTAACTTGAAATTTCGACTTATTAACTCGAAATTTTGAGAAAAGTAACTCGAAATTTTGAGAAAGATAACTCGAAATTTTGGATTACAGGCTTCCATAGTCACTAGTGACACCCAGACCCGATTATTGTCTGACCCACTGAATCACAAAGTCACTTAAATAGAACCTGTCTGACAAAGTGAAGTAGGTAGAAAGAGCCCAAAAAAGGACACATCATTTCAACATCTAAGCAGAAAAGAAACAAAAACATCTATCAGTCTGGAAAGTACTACAAATGAATTTATGGTTAAAATTTTATTTGTGAAGAAGTTTATGACGTCGTTACTACTTAACATTAAAGGGATGGTTGGCTCAACAGAGCTCTGACTTTTTGTCGGCCTGGCTACAGTGCTGAAGAGAAACCTGGGGTTGTTCTTATTTTCTTCAATCAGTGATGAATAGTAAGATGTTCTAGCTTTACAGAGGGCTTTCTTATAAAGCAGCAAACTTTCTCCAGGCTAAACGATTGTCTTCTAAATTTGTGACAGCTTAAGAGTTATCTGCTTTAAGCTACGCGTTTGAGAATTATTCAAGGGAGTCAAGTCCTTCTGATTTGAGGCTCTATTTTTCGCAGGAGCTACAGTAACCAGTGTCATACGTAGTGAGGATGTAAAATTATTAACAAGATAATCTGTGGATGTAGCGTTCAGGTACTCTTTGTGATTCTAAGTAATTTTTTTCCTGATTTTTAGGGTTTTTTTTGTTTGGGAGCTGACACAGTCTCTAAGGGGATGGGGTTTTGGGGGGATAACAAGAGGAGAGAAGCCACAAAGAGTTGTGTAGGACTGCAACTTTGCTTCCTGGTGCCGAATGAAATCATCATTTAAAAAATTAATATTTACTGAAATGAACTTTGTCTAATACTAACATTGTTTGATGATCTGAAACATTAAAGTGTGACAAAATGTGAACCGCATATCAAAAATGATGGGTTGCTATTATGCCATTCTATTCATCTTTTGTCATAGATCTGATTGCAGCTATAGTCTCCCTGTATTTCAGCCTAAAAACATTGTTGTATAAATCGGCCTTAATATTTAAAGTACAAACATTCCTAGCATGTCAAATGCTCACAGAATCACAATCTGAGGGAGCTTCCCTTGTAGTGTAAATGCCTGTGAGGAGCAATGACTATATCTCTAATATCTCTAATGATACCCTGTTCTCTGTATTGCAGGTAGAGAATTTCTTCTGCATGGGGTCTCCTCTGGCTGTATTCTTAGCATTGCGAGGAATCCGTCCTGGAAACAATGGCATGCAGGACCACATCCTTCCAAAATCTATCTGCAATCGCCTCTTTAACATATTCCACCCTACAGACCCTGTGGTGAGTCACTCGTTTCAGTTCAGTTTTATTTATACAGCGACAATAACAACAGTCGCCTAAAAGCACTTTATATTGTAAGTAAAGACCCAACAACAATACAGAGAAACCTCAACAATCAGATGACCCCCTATGATCAAACACTTCGGTGACAGTGGGCAGAAAAAAAGGCTCAGGGAGGGGCGGCCATCTGCTGCGACCAGTTGGGGTGAGTGTAAGAAGACAAGTTGAAGACAGGAAGAATTCCACAGATTAGAAATTAAAAGTCACACCCATTTCTTTTCTCACCAAGGTGCCCTGGTTCCTCAACAGCTAATGTGGACCATGTCAGGCAAATGATATATATGTATATATATTAGGGGTGCAACAATATACAAAATTCACGGTTCGGTTCTGTCTCGCTAGCTTGTGCTGCGCTCAGTGGATCTGCACTCAACAGTGCAGCCTAGGCGGAGTAGTTGAACGCAGATCCACTGAGCGCTCAACACAGACAGCATCGTCAGAAGAAAAGTTGATAAAATAAATTAAACATTTTGTATTGTTCAATACATATGCGTACAGAACCGAAAGCACTGTATTGAACGGTTCAATATCGATACGAGTATCGTTGCACCCCTAATATATATATATATATTCTGTCTTTAATGTTAAGCAGTTAAACATATAAGTCAGCACTTGCTGTTTATAAATAACGTTGGGTGTGTTTGGCCAGAGATTAATAATAAATAATAATTAAATGCAGACTGGTGAGTGAAAAAGAAACTATTGCAGCACAACTAAAGGAAGATTCAGGGTTATCTGATCCAACTCTAACTATATCAGCTTTTTCCATAAAGGCTTGCCATCTGTGGAACACACTTCCAACCGAAATCGAATTGATTACAGACATCAGATCCTTTACATTGAAAGTTAAAGTTTTGTTAAAGGGAAATCAGAGATGTAGTAATTTTAACTAATGATTTTTAATTTATTTTAATTGTAATTAATTATTAATTAATTATCTATTAATTGTAATTGTATTTATGATGTATTTTGGTTTTGTGAAAATGTATGTTTTATTGTAAAATGTATCTATGTTGATTGTAATCCCAACAAGGGACAATTGTTGAAAATTATTGTAACGCACATAAGTTTCATGTTATGTGCGTTACATCAGTTTCATGTTTTTTACTTGGACTATGTTAAACTGCACGGAGCCCCGCAGGGGACATGGGAGAAAAAAAAATTAAGACGGACTTTTGCGAGATCTCGCAAAACTAACTCAGGATCTCACAAAACTTTTGCGAGATCTCGCAAAAGTTTTTGCCGCATTCTTCGGAGGCCGCCAGCTCGAAGCCGACCGTGAGGTCGAGGCACGATGTGCCGGGAAAGCGGTGTTCCTCCCGCCTGTAGTAGGTCTGAACCTCCCGTTAGCTTCGAGATGGAGCACTTTTGCAAATACGCGATGTCTTGTAAACCGAGCAGATATCTGACGTTTACACAACTACATTCACGCCTCAAAATATCTTAAAAGTTCATTTTGTGACCCAGAAAGAGTAATATTACAACTAAGTAATTGTTGGAATTCAACTTTTGCGAGATCTTGCAAAACCGCAAAGGTTTTGCAAGATCTCGAGTTTGTTTTACGAGATCTTGCAAAACTTTTGTGAGATCCCGAGTTGGACCTCGCAAAAGTCCATCTTAATTTTTTTTTCTCCCATGTCCCCTGCGGGGCTCCGTAAAACTGCACTGTCCCTTTTAAATAAATAAATTCAAATTCAAATATGCTTTAGCAAAAAGCAACGTTTGAAGCCAAATATTAAAAGTAGAGAGGATGTCTGTATCATGGGTCCAAAGTGGGAGCTGTTGTGGCTGAAGCGCCACAGTTATGTATCTTATTAACCTGCTGAGATAATAAGTACCTATTTTAATGATCAAGCTATTCATATCTTGCTCAATGAATACTGACAAAGATAATGTTACAAATGTTACGGTAGTATTACACTAATATAAATTTAAAAAATTTAAAGACAAGCTTACAGTCATGATTAAATTGTGTCTTTAAAATACCTAATGAGTTTAAACATTTGTTTGTTTTAGGCGTACAGACTGGAGCCTCTAATCTTAAAGCACTACAGTAACATTGCACCTGTTCAGATCCACTGGTAAGAAATGTCAAGTGTCTTGTATATAAAAGATGTTTTCCAGCTGTAAAGGCTAGAATAAAATAAACTTTTTGGTTTTGTGTGTAGTAATAACTATCATGTCATTTAAGTAAGGGCGAAATGTTTCATTGAGCAGAGGTTGATGTGATGTGCAGGTACAACACTACCAACCCGGCACTGTATGATCTGATCCGGCCCACGCTGCTCAATCCCCTGAAGGAGACTGTGTCTGTCTCAGATTCAGAGAGCATCCCTAGCCCTTGCACGTCTCCCCCCCAGCCCCGGCGGCACTATGGAGAGTCAATCACCAACCTGGGCAAGGCCAGCATCATGGGTGAGGATTTCGGCAATAGAGTCATAGATGATAGGAGAACATTATATATATGTGATTTTTTTAACTTCTTATGTTTAAAAATCAGTTTAGTGAAATAATAATATCTGAAATGGATATGAACGCCAAGTAAAATCAGCTGATGTAAGCTGAGAGAAACAGAAGATGTTTGAGCTGCTGATATTGTAGCAGCCCCAGCACTGGGCAGTAAACATTTTCTAAACAAATCAATAGAAGCAATTAGCTCTGGAGAGTAACTTTAACTGGATAAAAGACATTTGATATTACACAGCAGATATAGAGGCACTGCTTCTAACACTATTAGAACTTCACTCCACTAAGCTCCCAAAAATTTAAGATGAGACAAGCCAAGCGTTTTTAGGTCATGAAATTTGTAGAGCACTAGAACGATAAAAACAAACATTTCAAGGTGACATTTTGCTGCCACAGTTGTGGTCCACAGACAAGGGTCATGAACCTGTTGCCCTTTTGCCCCCTTCGAGTGACTCCCTGAGGCTCCCTTGAGAATTAATACGGTTGGTGCATCAATCCAGCTTTTTCCATTACTGCCCAATACCTTGGTTGTGGGTATCCGGAAAACCCCAAAAGGGAGCAGTTGAAAGAAGAAAAGGGCAGAAGACACACGACTTTTTTGAACACAGTAAATATTGTTAATGAAGAACTTTAGATTAGGAATACAAAATAAGATGATCTAATGCATAAATCTAATTACCCCTAAGGTGCTGCAAGTCTCGGAAAGGGAATTGGAGGAATCCTATTTTCCCGCTTTTCCCGTTCCAGCGGCCAGGTGGGTGGAGTGGAGGAGGAGCCATCAGATTCTGAGAGTGGGACCTCTGATGTAAAAAATGTGGGAACAGGAGAGGAAGAAGTAGCAATGGCAGAGAAAGAAGACAAAGACAAACAAATAATGGAGGAAAGAAGGGAGGTGGAGCCTGCCATGTCCCAGTCCACCTCAGCTGTCTTGGACATCACCTCATGTAAGTGCTGTAAAGTAAAGCATCTATGATTTGCTGTGGTTATTGAGATCTTAAACCAACGTAGCTGCTCTTCAGGGGCTAGAGCAGATCATCCACTAATCAGAAGGCTGGTAGTTGAATCCCAGGCTGAGTCTGAATGCTAAAGCATCCTTGGGCAAGAACTCTGAGTTGCTCCTGATGCATTCATCAGAATGTGTGTGTCACACAGAATCTGTGTGAATGATAATTAGAAAGTACTTAGCTATAATCTCTACAAGTAGAGAGTAGTAAATGGGTGAATGAGACATGTATAAAGTGCTTGAGTAAAAGAGTACTATATAAGAACCAGCCCATTTACCATTTCTTTTATCTCCCTGTAATCATTTTTCAGAAACTTTTTTGTGAGTCAAAATCATGTTTGTTCTGTTAAGTCAGTTCAGTTCAGTTCTATGTATATAGTGCCATTTCATAACAACAGTTGCTTCAAGGTGTTTTATATTGTAAAGATCCTCCAGTATCAGAAAGAAACCTCAACAATCACATGACCCGCCTACGAGCAAGCAACAGTGGGCAGAAAAACCTCATAACCGGAGGAAACCTCCAGTGATGTGAGCTGTGAAAGATTATACTTATGGATATATATATATGGATCCTTCACCGCAGACATTAACTCTGTGGATAAAACATAAAGTTCACCAGGGAAGACACAAATGATAACAGGTTGCCATTCCTGGACTGTGCCGTGCACATTGAAGAGAATGGAAACCTCAACACTGAAGTTTACTGGAAACCCACACACATGGACCAATACCTCCTCTTTGACTCCCACCACCCTCTGGAACACAAACTTGGAGTAATCGGGACCGAGGGAACACACACGTGTAAAGGAAGCTCTTAAAACATGTGGTTATCCTAATTGGACTTTCATCAAGTCAGCAAAGACGCACAGAAAAGAAGATCAGACACCAACTAGGGAGGATCAGAAAGACAAAGTCAACAACATTGTCATCCCCTATGTAGCCGGTTTATCAGAAAAACGCAGAGTCTTCTCCAAGCACGACATCCCAGTGTACTCCCAGCCACACACTCAGATACAAACTGGTTCATTCCAAAGACAAAACTCTTAAACATAAACTTAACAACGTGGTATATGCTATACAGTGCAGTGAGGAATGCTAGGACCTCTACATTGGAGAGACTGGATAAACACATGGCACAACATAGAAGAGCCATCACCAGGGTACAAGACTCGGCTATCCATCTGCATCTAAAGGACACAGGTCACTCTTTCGAGGATGCCAGTGTTCACATTTAGGACAGATAAGACAGATGATTTGAAAGAGGAGTGAAAGAAGCCATCTATGTCCACTTTGGATGACCATTATTGAACAGAGGGCGGGGCTTAGGACACCAACTGTCAACCCTCTGTAATCCAGTTTTGAGATCCTTCCCAGACACTTTAAAGCCCACTCACATCCTGGGTCATTTGACTTCAGTAAATCACATGATAGGGTGAGGCAAGGTCTTACAATTTGTTCACCCACACCCGTTTTCACACCTTGGCTCATGTGATTAGGTAGAGGAACAATAAGGGGTCCATGACCCTCTTGTGGACACTCCACAAGGCTTAAATCTGGGAATCTCCACCAATTGCTCTTAGAACTGAAGAAGCTTCTTGGATGAGATGTAAAACGTCTTCAAGAAAACTTTTAAAAATCCTGACGCTTTTCCAAGCTCCTTAGACTAGACCTTGGTTAGTTTTTCCCCAGTTTAGATTTTTAGTTTAGTTTATCTCCATGTTCTTTTGCCTTTGTTTCGCATGTGTTTTGGCCGTCAATAAACAGCTTGTTTTTTGTTAAACCTGATTCCTGCCTTGAGCGTCTGTATTTGGGTCCTCTTAAATAAATACAGGGTCTGCCACTGCACTGCAATGAAGTGTTTTGAGCAGATAGTGTCTCAGCACATCAAAGACTGCCTACCTCCCTCTCTTGACCCCCACCAGTTTGCTTACAGAGCAAATCGGCCTACAGAGTATTCCATTACCATCACTAGGAAGAGCTGCGAGAGGAAGCTCTTTGTGGACTCAGCATTCAACGCCATAATCCTAGACATCCTTTCCCACCAAACTGGACCACCTCCACATCCCCCCTGCCTCCTGCTCCTGCATCAAAGATTTCCTAACCAACCGACCTCAATCAGTCCGACTTGACCCCCACCTCTCCACTCTACTCTCACTCAGCATCGGGTCCCCAGAGGGTTGCATTCTCAGCCCCCTACTGTATGTCCTCTACACCTATGACTATACACCAACCCACACAACCAATGTCGTCATCAAGTATGTCAATAGCACTGTGATTGAGCTCATCTTTGATGAACATGAGACAGCATGCAGGGTGGAGGTAAAGAGTTTGTCCCACTGGCACTCAGAAAATAACCTGAACCTCAAAAGAACTCATCATGGACTTCAGGAGGCACAGACAGGTCCAATTCCCTCCCACCCATCCATCCTTCCTTCCTATTATCCGGGGCCAGGTTGCAGGGGTGGCAGCCCAAGCAGAGAAGCCCAGACCTCCCTCTCCCCAGCCACCTCCTCCTCGACCAGGTGTCCGGGGAGACACCAAAGCGTTCCAAGGCCAGCTGAGAGATATAATCTCTCCAGCATGTCGTGGGTCTCTCCTGGGGCCTTCACCCGGTGGACATGCCTGGACTACCTCACCCAGGAGGCTCCCATCCTTTTCAGATGCCCGAACCACCTCAACTAGCTCCTTTCGATGTGAAGGAGCAGCGACTCTACACTGAGCTCCTCTTGGATGACCGAACTTCTCACCGTATCTCTAAGAAATGGGCTTCCACCCTTCGGAGGAAGCCCATTTCCGCCACTTGTATCCACGGTCTCGTTCTTTCAGTCATGACCCACAGCTCGTGACCATAGGCGACCAGTACAGTGTCCGCATCACTGCAGCCGCAGCACAAATCAGTCTGTCAATCTCTTGCTCCTCCTCCCGTCACTTGTGAACAACATCCCAAGATACTTAAACTCTTCCACTTGGGGCAAGAACTCATCGTTGACCCGAAGTGGGCACTCCACCCTTTTCTGGCTGAGGACCATGGCCTCAGATTTGGAGGTGTTGATTCTCATTCCCACCGCTTCACACTCCAAACCATTCCAAAGCGAGCTGGAGGCCATCACCTGATGAAGCCAACAGAACCACATCATCCGCGAAAAGCAGATACCCCAAAGCAGACACACCCAGGTCCTACGCTCCTCGCCGCCGCCTGGCTCACAAAGCACCCGACCCCTACGGTGCCTTGTGCGGGTGGTAGGCCTGCAGGAGGATGGGTCCATGTCCCTTTTTCTGGCTGTGCCCAGCCAGGCCCCATGGACTAAGGCCCAGCCACCAGAAGGTTGCCCTCGGGCAACCTCCCCAGACAATGTGCCATGGGAAACCCTACCAGAGGGGGGAAAAAAACAGACAACATAGCCCCGGGGATCCCTGGGACACACAAATCCCTCCAACATGATAAGGTAGCGATTCGCGGAGGGGAGGTCCAATTCCCTTGCATCATAAATGAAATATAGGTGTAATCTGTCTCCACCTTCAGGTTTCTGGGCACTCACATCTCCGCCAATCTCACCTGGACCCACAACACCATCGCCACTAAGGAGTGGTAGAAGGCCAAGCAGCAGCTGCACTGCCTCTGTGTCCCGAGGAAGAGTAACCTGGACCAGAAGCTGCTGCTGGCCTTCTACCACTCCTTAGTGGAGATTGTGCTCTGCATGGGTGTCTGGTATGCAGGGGCCACAACTGAGGAAAAAAAAAAGGCTGCACAGAGGTTAATTATCACTGCCCAAAAAATCATTGGCTGCCCTCTGCCACCCCTGGAGGCCATCACCAGCTCCTCCTGTCTCAAGAAAACTAGGGCCATCATAGGTGACCCCGCCCACTACCTGTTCGACCTGCCACCCTCTGGTTGGCACCTAAAGTCAGTCAGGTCCCACACCTCAAGACTCACAAACAGATCCTTCTCCTTGGCTCCCCCACACCCCACCCACCTCACTAATCTGAGCCATAGTCTGAGTAACCCCCATCAGTCAGGCCACACACACACACACACCGACTGTCTTCAGAAGTATTTTTTCTTTGCAGTACTTCCAAGCACTCTATTGCTTTTTATATATTCCTCTTGATTGTATATATTTCTCCTCTTTGTTATGTATTCCCGCTGTCTGCTATTTATATTTTATAGAATAGAATAGAATAGAATTCAACTTTATTGTCATTGTACATGTCACAGGTACAGGGCAACGATTATTCCTGCACAGCTGGTTTTGTGCACCCACAATTTTGTTGTACATGTACAATGACAATAAAGGGCTATTCTATTAAATTTTTTGATGAGAAAGAATGGTTGGTGGTTACAAATGTATTACATTCAGTATTTATAAATATGTTTTATGATCTACTGTAGTTTACTAATGCATACCTACAAAATATTCAATGTCTGGTTAATAGTAAGAGTTTAGGCCAAAAGTAGAAATTTTATTGCTCCAGTAAACTGAAATGGAAACCACATGTTGCATAGTGAAAAAAAGTCAAATGAACTTCTTCAGTATGAGTATTCAGCACCAGCCTGGCTCACATGATCTTAGATCCTAATATGGCATTTCTTCTGTTGCAGTGGAATTGGAGAGACGCATTGACTTCGAGCTGCGGGAGGGATTAGTAGAAAGCCGCTATTGGTCAGCTGTGACTTCACATACAGCCTATTGGTGCTCATATGATGTGGCTCTGTTTCTCCTCACCTTTATGTACAGACAACATGAGCTTCCTGAACCTGCTGAAGACAACTCAGACGCCACATAAGTGCAAAGTGAGAGTGGGACCTGTACGCCTGAGTCAATTTACTTTCTTTTTCCAACTTTTGAAATCCAAATTCAATTTCAAAAATGTTGGGATGCTGTATAAAATGTAAATGAAAAAAGAATTTTCAAATTTCAAATTCCGTTTTATTCACAATGCAACAAAGAAAACATATCAGATGTTAACTGAGAAAATTTACCATAAAAAAACCAAGGCCTTTTTAATTTTATTGTAACCAAGTCTCAAAAAGTTTGCACAGTTTCACGTTTACCACTGTGCACCACTACCTTTTCTGTTGTAGCTGGACTTCTGCGAGCGGAATGCTGCCTCATTCTTGTCTGTCTATGTTGTGTTGCTCTAAAACCTCTATATACATTTCAGCATTGATGGTGCCTTCCCAGATACATAGGTTGCCAATTACATAGGCACAAATGAAACCCTGTACCATCAGAAATGCAGGCTTTTAACTGGGTGCTGATAACAAGCTGGGTGACGCCTCTTATCGTTAGTCCTGAGGATAAGGTATTCATGTTTTCCAAAAACAATTTCAAATTTCTGTTGTGTGTTCAGAGAACGTTTTTCTATTTTGTCCATTCTGAGACAAAGAATGGACTGAGACTGTCTTCTCTGAGCTTTGACCCAGAGAAAAGTGATCATGTTCACATATGGCTTCTTTTTTGCATAATAGAGCTTTAATCTGCATATGTAGATGGCACAACAAACTGTGTTCAGACAGTGATTTCTGGAAGTGTTCCTGAACCATGCAGGGATTTCCATGACAGAATTATGCTTGGGAATCTAAAGACTACCAATCTCATAAATCCTTGAGGAGACTGCTGTTGTAATTTGGTACTATATAAATTAAAATAACATCACTCTAAAACCCTAACAACTAACCCTCTGAATGCAGCTTGTTGTTGGTTCACTGCTGTATAGTTCTACCTCCTTTGCACCGAATATATATGTGTAGCATGGCTTCTTTAATGGTTCCTCCTCCTTTTGTAATAGCGATACTAAATTTAGCCTGTTTGTAGTTTTGGAGACCCAGCACTGCACCCTTGAAAAACCTGTACCTAGCCAGGCCCCTGTAGTTGGTGTAGGAGAAGGTAGTTTTACAAATGTGTGCCTTAAAGCAGATATCCCATAAACCGGAGAGGAAATGGTGTTTCGACACTGTGTCAAGCTTGTGAAGTGCAGATGTTTTGAAACACTGCTCCGAAGCATGGTTCAAAACACCTGGGTCGCATGACCACAACTAAACAAGGTTTTGGTGCACTTCACCCCAATTTCAACCGGTGCCAAACCTGCTCCTTCTAGGCATTACAAAGCACCAGGATTCCAATGTTTCAAGAATCTGAGTCATTTGTAATTACTTCAATTAAACACTGGAATCTATAGTGTAATCAATCCAATATTATATAGATATATACATAATATGTAAAGACCTCTTTTGAATGATTACTAGCATCAAGACAGAGACTGGGGGCTTCTAGCACAAAGCTGACACTAACACCATGAAAGCTTCAAAATCAACCAAAGACGTCCAAAGTTTGAAGGCTTTGAGGAAAAAACGAGACAGACTGAGCTCCAGACAGCTGGAAACCTCTGTGGTTATTCCAGTAAACACAGCGGTCTTTTCTAAGAATGATTTACTTTGTAAATTAAGTTGCTGAAAGCAATATGACTATTAACAGAGGAAAAATTTTGCTGAAGTACACCGATCACTATAGTCACAGGCTGCCACCCATCTTTAACGGTCCCAATATTTTTCTGGCCTCCAAAATATGTGTTGATCATAATTATTAACAGTCTGGTATGATGAGTAGCTTTGTTTGGAATTGTGCAGAGCTCGTCTGTGCCAGTGTAGTGTACTGGTGTAGTGAAGGTTGGCCAGCAGATGTCATCATGGAGACGGGTTTCAGATTGTTTCAAAGCCTCAATACAACTCTGGCACAAATGCTTTGAGTATTTCAGTGTTTCACAAAGTCTCACTTTGCCCATCTATAGGTTTGATTTACCCCATTATAACTGCCCTAACACACAACAAACACAGGGGATATAACTACTGGCTGATCAGTCCAGGACGTAAACACATAAGGTAATAACAAATACTAACAAATTATGTAACACCAAACAAAACAAAATAACTGTTAATTTAATAACCTCTTCAAATCAATAATACTGAACAGCAATGCCTAGTGTGAGTCTATATATTAGTAAAAACTAAAACCTGTTTGTAGATTCTGTGTTACCCAGAGAATAGCTTTGTGCGCCAATTCAGTTTTAAACAATTTTCTTAAAGGCCACTTTACCTAACTCAAAGCATTCAATGGAGATGTGCCATGTACATTAGCTGAACTGTAAAGACACAAGCATGCAGAGAATCTGACACTAACACCTCACACTAAATTTGCTAATGTACTATGCATACATTAGAATTCAGAGAAAAGTTTAACCTGCCAGTTAAATGTTTTAACTTGTTTTCACTGATCCCTTGTAATATGTGTTTGCACTTTTGTTTTTTAGTTGAAACCCATTATATGTGATGTCCTATATATGCATCGGTGTAGAGAATTTGGGGGCCAACAAAAATTAGGAGACAGCTATAAACAACAACAACAAGAAAACAGTTTCAACCAAGAGAGGTCTAGGTTCTGCACAGTAAGGATAAATTATATATCCTTTCTGTGTGTAGAGCAGTTCTGAATTTGAGAATAGGTTGTTGTTTGTTTGTTTTTGCATTTTTAGCTTGTACCTTAAAAAGTCCAGTCAGCTTGTCAATTGTTTTGAATACCAAAACCTACAAAAAGTACCCTTGGATTCAAATGTACTATTATTTTAAATGTTTATAAAAATATAGTGATGTTTTCATCCTCAGTTTAATATTGAATAAAATCAGATCTAATATCAAATATGTTGGACATGAAATATTATGTTTTCTAAAAATTGTTAGGAAAAGGCCCTAAATGTCTGATGATGTGGGGTGGCCAAATACTCTGCATTGCTGTAAAAGGTAGCATAGCAAGGATACATGGTAAATGAAGACGGTTTTCATGAATGATGCATGATGATACATACTGTATGACTTTAAATCATAGAATCATTAGATTGCATTATTAACAGTACTGGGTGGCAGACTGCCCTTTAACTATCACTGGTGCTGATGGTGGTCCCCTTTGCTGCGTGTATCTTTTGCGTTGGAATGTGACTGGAGGCTTTTCTCCTTTTCTGCATTACCCTGTGATAGGTTT